ATTCCTGCTTTCCTCCTCTCTCATTCACACCTTCATTTGGGCTGGTTAGTCCATAGCCTCTTTGGAGGAGACAAGTATATGCATGATTTCAAATAGTGGAATCTGAGTGATGCTGTTGGACCCAGTTTGATGAAACAATCTCCTTTTCTGAAGAAGGATGAAACATGACCTTGATTTCATTTGTTCCCTTCCTTTCACCGTTCAAAACACATGTGTACATAGAATATATACATAGAATAAGGAAACTCATAAAATGATACAATTTGAAATGTTTCCACTAAGATAATGAAATAGGCTTGAAGTATTAACCTGAAAGTTCGGAGAAATTGTATATAGGAAATCACTCAAATTTGTCTTGATCTACAAACACTGCAAATGGACACCTATGATACTTTGCTGGGGGGTCTGTGCAGCCACGGCTAGTTCTTCATTCGGTGCTTCAGGTGGTAAAAGTGCACGATCAGTTCTGGATAATTTATTGGTCCTACCCAGTGTTCTCTGGGTTGATGAGAACCTTTCTATAGGCTTAAGTGGATAAAAACTCCTAAGTTTTTCCTCCCTGCGGCCTAAAGGGAGAATTTGTTACAATACCTTCTGTCGTTAAGTTCTGTATTACTCAGAAAAATCTGTCTGCCAGAATTTCCTGCCCCTAGCTTGTATACCATCTTGGCTGACTTTCCTTAAACTTCAAGGTGAAGGGCTGGTTGTTAGATTATGTAGAACTGTTCAGAGATAAGATTTCATGTTCATAGCCAGCATCTGAGCAGCTGTACTTAGAGGCAAATTGTGAAACCCCAAAGTACCCCCTCTGCTTCTGACAGTGCCTTGCTTACACTGGAGACACGTTCTTAAGCTCCTGTGGCTGCACTACTTTTGTGACAGGTTTTGCTGCTTTCACACCTACCTAGGTGGGAGCAAATGGTGGCTCTGTTTCCAGGGAGGAGGCCTAGGTGGTAGCTTTCATGACTGATGATCTCAATTAAGAAAAAAAAAAAAGGCTTGATCCTGTTGTGTTGTCAGCTGTAAGTGCTCTGTCAGCTCTGACCAGTGGCTGATTAAAGTGACTCAGCCAGCTACTTGAAAGCAGGTAATGACTAAAAGGTGTAAATAATAACTAGTTCACTAAAAAAAAAAAAAAAAAAAAGATAAGCCTATACAGATTTCCTCTTAGTTAACCCGCAATCTTCCTTTGCAAGGTGGTTGCCCCGCTAGCTTTTCCTGTCTCTGGTGACAGAGGGAGTTGTCTTTTGGAACTGTTCAAAGTCAAGGTTGGACGGGGCTGTGAGCAACCTGATGAAGTGAAAGATGTCCCTGCCCATGGCAGGGGTGTTGCACTAGATGATCTTTGAAGGTCTCTTCTAACCCAAACCATTCTAAGATTCTTTTGTTTCTACATTCCTCTTTGAATCCATCGTGCTTTGAATGCTCTCTCAGAGCATCTTCCTTCTCCTCTTTCATCTGATTCCCTTTCTCCAAACAAAGGGAGGCGATGGGATAGAGGGAGCAAGATCTTTGGTTTGTGATGACTCTTGGTCTCCAGCCTTGGTATTTCAGCTGTATGTAGTACCCAGAAAATAATACATCCACGTTGTGGTATACCAGTTTTCTATACCTTTGAAGTTTATTGGTGTTTCCACCTGTGCTTTGTAAGGGAAAACCGGATGCTAAACAGCACCTTTCATGATAGAAAAACAACATAAAGCAGACAAGTTGAGGTAGATACGCCATTTGCTTTTTTAAACATTTCTGTAACATTCATGAAACTTTTTGAAGTTTTATTTTTACAGTTTTCTGCGTGATGTGAAGACCTGTTGGGTCTCCCTCTCCTAACTTTTTTTAATGGGAGTGCTTAGAGGACAAATGCTGTGATACATGCTTATGAGTGCTCTTGCGTAGTTAATTTGGAGCATCGTGAGGAATCATGAACAACAGCTTCTTGAGGAGTACTTGAAAACTGTTGGCTGTTACCCAGTTTTACCCTCCTGTTAGCCATCCTGCCACCAGAACTGGTCAACTGGAGTCAGTGAGATCCTGTTATGAGTTATTTCCTAGTTAACCATGGGATTTGGGTCTGTGCTCAAGCAACATGTGTATAAGACTAAAGCTCTTATACTCAAGTCAGGGCATTGGTGTTAGGGTAAAATGAAACCTAAGAATTTCTTAGGTTTTTGCTTAAGTGACTTAAAGTGTATGAATTGGTGTTCACAACATTACTTCTTCCTCCTTTGGCTTCCACCTAAAGATGAGCATAGAGAGTGGATTGACAGAAGTAAAAGACTAAAACTGGTTTAAAAAGTTCATGCTGTGTGCCGTTTTGCATTGCAGTCACCTTGCATAATGAAATGAGACTCATTCACAAGCAAATTGTTAGAGTTGGATTTAAAAATGTAGAGGAAGGTTTAAATTTCAGTATGGCAAGATAATGTTAGTATCTGCCAGTTTTGAAAGTTGGGATGTATATGAGATCTATGCCGTATTCAATGTGATCATAAGAAGTTGCTTTCAGAGATGGTTTAAGCCCAGTTCCAATTATTTCATTTTCTTTCCTGCCTGTATGCTTGTTGGAGGTTGTCTCATGGTGCTTCTGTGGAAGATAATTGTGAGCCAAAGTGAGCTGAATGCTTGCTGAGATACTTTGACATAGGATTTGCTTTTATGTTGAAGGAGAGTTGAATCTCTGTAGCCACTTTACCTTCCTGTGCTATCCTACCTGAGAAATTGCTGTATGATAATGTGTCTTCAGTTATGCATTTAAATTAATGTTCTCCTTAACATTGTTTTTTCCGGTGATGGAAGGAATTTTTAATCATAGGAAGCTCATTAAAATATTAGTACATTTTCTAAAAGCCCTAGCTTTAAACACTGGTGTTTAATTTTGGGGGTGCAGAAATACTTTCATTCTAAATTTTCTGAATAAATGTACTCTGTTCTTCTTCGACAGAGGTGTTATGAACATAAGCAGTATAGAAATGGGCTGAAGTTCTGTAAACAGATCCTGTCTAACCCAAAGTTTGCAGAACATGGAGGTAAGTTTTCAAATGGCATGTGCTCTTTTTTTCCCCTGTATTTTAGGTTAGAGTAATAATTTGTAAGTTTTAGAAACAGTTATAGCACTTTATTGTTAACCATTTACCCTTAAAGCAGATTTTCTTAACATAAAACAATGAGAGCATCTAGAAACCTGCACTGTGGTAGGCACTTATTGTTGGTACGATTTGTCATTTTAAAGACTGGTCTTACCCCAGTAGTCAGTAGTCATAGTTTGCTGTTCTTTATGCTGCAAGACTAGTATTCTTTGTAGAGTGGTGCAAGTTTAATACAAGGGTGTATTGCTTAAAACACTTTTCAGGGGAAATTGTTATTCATTCCAGTAGAAGTGCGAGACAAAAGGAAAAAATTGAACATTGTTCAGCACTATGTGTCTATCAGCTCTGTGGTCTTGCTACTTTTTCTGAAGGAGTAGTCTTATTGTGAAAGAAGAAAAAGGTGTTTGTCTCTTGCTGTGTTTTTAGTTGGTTCTTACTACTTTCCACCGTCCAGAAATGTTTTTTTATTTCTTTGCCAACTGGTTTGGCGTAGGTCAATGTGTGGAAGTCTCATAGTGTTGTGAGTAAACACTTGAATAGTTATAATGGCTCCTTTACAGTAAAAAAAAAAAATCTCTCTCCAAAATGTTTGTAGAGCAGGCAGTTTAGTGCCTTTAAAATAAAACACTGCTTTGCTTTTTGGTGGAAGTAGTGCATAAAGTTTATTGTCATGTATGATACACTTAAGTGAATAATCTGCCAGTAGTTTTCCATATGAAAAAAGAATGCAAAATCTTGATGCTGATAAATGAGTCTAAATGTGCATTTATACTATATTTAGAGTTACTATATTAAGCTTAAAAACCTATGAAAATTAATAACTCATACTTATTTAATCTTAACTTTTTTTTTAGAAACCTTGGCAATGAAAGGACTAACATTAAACTGTCTAGGGAAGAAAGAGGAAGCTTATGAACTTGTTCGTAGAGGCCTAAGGAATGACTTGAAGAGTCATGTCTGTATCCTTTCTGAAATAGAGCTTTGGCTTATGAATGGAAAAGGTTTATTTCTACAACTGCTTGATTTATAGAGTTGCAACAAGAGCCAGTACTATTAGGCTTCAAGCTGTAAGTTCAGAATTTAATTTTTGTTTCTAATACATAAGAATGTTTTGTCAAAGCTAGTTTGCAAGTAGTTTCTTTGTACAGCTGATTAAAAGAATGGTAGCGATTGTAATAAGCGTTGCTGTTCATTTATTTATAAAAGCTTTTTACCGACTGTTCTGTCACTGCCATGTTGGATATGTTTTTTCCCTGTTCAAATTGAGTAGAATCCTTAACGCAGTTTTCCAGGTTGGCATGTCTATGGCCTCCTTCAGAGGTCAGACAAGAAGTATGACGAAGCTATCAAATGCTACAGAAATGCACTGAAATGGGACAAAGACAATCTTCAAATCTTGAGAGATCTTTCTCTGCTACAGATTCAAATGAGGGATCTTGAAGGTTACAGGGTAAGTACATATACTGCATTTATTATCAGATTCTAGGGAATTGTAGCACAGGTGGCAAATTGCTTCATGACACTTGAAAAAAATACAGAGTTAGATCTAGAGTGTTAAAACCATGTACTACTTGATACTTTATGAAAGTGCTGTGAAAAGCAGATACTGAGCGATTTCTGTAAAGTATACAGATTTAATGGCATATTAATATATTTTTCAGCTCAGTACAGAATTGTTTGCTCAGGTTTTTTTAATGCTGCGTAATCCAGCTGTAGACAATTCCCAGTCTTTTTATTATTTCTGGGAAGGATTCCTGCAGGTAAAAGGCAATGTGTTCAGAAGAAAATTGTTCTTCAGGCAAAGGAGTTTCTATTTTTTAAGAACTTTTTACCATGTCTTCCTCCTCCTTTAAATCAGTGGCCACCAGTTTTCTCTTGGCAGTGGGTAACGATACAAAGCAAGCAGTAAGCTGCATGAAACATCCTATTTTGCTTCCCAGCCAATGTGGGCATTAGTGGCAGCTCCTTCCTCTGGGTCTAAATATTCCCTTACATTTCCTGTGAGCTGCAAGATTGTGGATCAGAACTCTTGAATATTCCTGTTCAATCTTTTATTTAATGTGCAAAAATGTTTAGATTACTATCTTGTTTTCTTCTGTTTATTTTGTAGTAAAGCTGAAGGCAGTTTGGTGACTTAGATTGAAACCCTCTTTCCACACTGCAGTGCGCAGTTATTCGCTGCTTTGCGTCGGTTGTCTGTATTTGCCTTGTGAGGTGATGTTTCATGCTAACCAACCATTATGAGGTGGTAGTGTCACTTCTGTAAAGAAGAATACAAATTTTCTATTGTCCTCTCTACAAATGCTGCTCCTAATGTAGTTCTTTTTTTTTTCTGTCTTCTTGAATTGCAAGCTTGTGTCTATCTTGCCAGTACCCTTATTTCTTAAAAAGTAGGAGCTTCTGTTTAATATGCATATTATAGAGATGTTTATGTGGTTCAGGGTAAGTCGTAGTTGCTGCCTGTGGTCAATGTATGGCTCACTTAGGATTAGACAAAACAATTACTGTAGAAGATTTGTTTGTTTCTTACTCTGCCATCCAGGGAAAGATGGCAGTGGTCGCCTAAAGTATTCATAATTCAAACATTAATTAATTGGAAAAAAGCTCCTTAGTTCCTCTTAAATTACATTTCTGTGCCTGGAAGCTTGTTTGTTTTTCAGTTGATGTAGACTGGTGTAATAAAGTATTCCTTTTCTCTAGGGGGGGGGAAATAGTTGTTTTTTACCTGAGATACTTTGGATAATTGTTTATGTCAGGTTTTCATCTTTTCAGGATTTCCTTGCACCTTTAAAGTTGTGGCTGTTAAAACACGTTAGTTGGTCTCTTCATAGATTATTTCCATTTCAAATTAGGGTAATGTTAGAATGCCAGGAACAAGACTTGTTCTCAGAGCAGTGTGGAGCCATCAGCCTCAGTGAACTCATTCTCAAGTTTGGGTATTTCTTAATCACCATTTTTTTCATGTTAGTAATTTGGAAAATTGACTCCTCGCTGAGACAAGATAGCCAAAGCTTAGCATAGGTGCCAAAATCCATTTGCAAATGTATGTTCTCTGGGCCTCTGGATAAAAGTGAATACAAATGTATAATTACTAAACATACAAGTAGGACATGGTTATAGAATGCATCAAGGATTAAATGTTAACGTGCTGAGAAGCCAGTAATTCATAACTGCCCATATGCTAGTTTCTGAAGAAGGTGCATTTACTCTCAAAACTGGGAATAAGGTTGTGTTTTGGTGGGTTTTTTCCTCCTTCACTTTAATTTCCGCGCTCTCCTACTTCTTAATATCTTGAGTGATAGTCCTTCATTCTAATCAAACTGCTGCATGTTACTATTTTTGGTTCTCTGTTAACCCCTGCTTCTGACTGTGCTTTTTAATAGGTAGCAACTTTTACCTTTATTTTGAATTACTTTAAGATGCCTTTCAAGAGTCTGTAACAAAACAAGTAATAACTTTTTCCTCAGATTAAAAACAACACGATACCAAGCAAATCTGTTGCATCCTCCAGCTGTAATTATCTTCTGGCCAAAGAATAGGGATGCGCTTGTATGGACTATTTTGCCTAACAACACTTGTAATGATTTAAAACATATGTACTTCCAAGGTGAATTTGGAACACCTAGTATATAGTAAAAGTTCCTGCAACTCAAACCAAAGTATCCTTAGTTGCATTCTGTTCATAAGCGGTAAGACAGGAAAAGCATGTGTGTCATACATTAAGAAAGATAGTCTGACTCATCAGTATTCAATTGGACATGATGTGTTATTTTCTGTTGTGGGGTTTGGTTTTTTTTTTATTCAGACAAGACCATTATAGTGTTTTAACGTTTATTCTTTCTTCTGGTTCAAAAAAAAAAAATTGCATAAAGAAAACTAATTTTCAATAACATTTCTTAAATATTAGACTACTGAAGACAGAGTATTGCATAAAGGATTCTACAGAGCATCAGGAAAATCAGTAGTTACTCTTTTGCAGGAAACAAGGTACCAGTTGCTTCAGCTCCGACCTGCACAGAGAGCGTCATGGATTGGTTATGCCATTGCATACCATCTGCTGGAAGACTATGAAATGGCAGCAAAAATTTTAGAGGAATTTAGGAAGACACAGCAGGTAAGAGGAAAATGTGAAATTCCTGTTTGGATTGCTGCTTAAGCCAAAAATAAAACTCTGCTTTCTTTCCTGATGTGAAAACTTCATGAAGTTTCTTTAGTCAAATGAATTTAATCCCAAATGCCTTCTAGAAGGCTGACCTTTCTCATGTGTCTTGCTTTCCTGTGTAGACATCGCCTGATAAAGTGGACTATGAGTACAGCGAACTGCTGCTGTATCAAAATCAGGTCCTCCGGGAGGCAGGACTATATAAAGAAGCCTTGGAGCATCTTTGTACCTACGAAAAGCAGATCTGTGATAAACTGGCTGTTGAAGAAACTAAAGGTAATTTACTTTTTGACGGTACACTTCAACAGCATAGCCTACAATGGAATTCCTGTACTGTCAGCTTTTCCCATCTTTTGGAACTTCATCTTTGGTTTTAGATTAATTTATTCTGCTGTGGTAAAGGACTGCTTGTCTCAGAGCTGTTCTGGGCCGGTCATACTCTTCTCCTAGGTCAATAAGACATCAGTAGGGTACAGATGCACTGTTCTGAAACTTCTGAGCTGATGAGCATTTGCAGCAGATGATCCTGAAATGATGTGGTGAAGTTCTGTTTGGGTAGCATACCCAGACCTACGCTGTTGTAGCTCTGGTGGTGGTCCTGACAGGGACACCACTTGCTGAAAGGGCAGAACCATCTTTGGTGAAGGAGAAGGCTTTTAATTGTACTCAGTCACCCTTGCAGTGTATGGAAATAGGCTCTCTAGCGGGGCAATCCAACATAGGCTTCTGGCATTGTATTGTTATAGTTGTAGCATATAATATTATAACAGATTGGTGTAATACTGTATGTTGTATTCCATAGCTGGAATTGCAGAGAGATAGAACATCAGCAAAGATGCTCTATACAGTTGTTAGATCTCAACTTTACTTTTAGTAGTTGTATCTTGTAATGAAGTATCGTTGAAAGGAAAACTTGCTTGCAGAATCTTGAGAACTCATTAATGGGACCAGTGGCTTGATTTAAAACATTGAAGTTAGTTTTATGAAATACCAGACTGAAGAACCGTTCTTTTATTTGCAGTTCTGCAATTTCAAGTTGGTTTTCAAGATGCCATATTCATGAAATACTGTGTACTGCTTGTAATTGCCTTCTGTAGTAAAAATTGTGTTTAAGTCACTTCAGTAAGTGAAAAAAGCTACACGCATCTTGCTTTTAACATTAACTTTTCAAGTAAGTTTCAAGAGTTACTGGCTGAGTTGTAGAATCTGATTGCAGTTGCAGCTATTGTCAAAGTAAAAAGCATATCTGTCCACTAGTTTGTGATGCTACTGTGATAGCTTTTTCTAAGAAATTAGAATCTATATGGAGTTAAGGATTATCTAATGTTTTACTGTAGAGTGATTAATATTACACTGCTTCAGTATCTTGTTACCTTAACTTAAAACTTCTTGGATTTCACACAGGAGAACTCCTGCTTCAGCTTGGCAGACTTGAAGAAGCAGTTGAAGTTTACAAAGGACTACAAGAAAGAAATCCTGAAAACTGGGCCTACTACAAAGGCCTAGAAAAGGCACTTAAACCAGGTAGTGATTTCATCTATTGTAGGAAATAAGCCATTTCTGCACATTTGGAATTCATATATGTATCAAAAGCTTGCATTGCTTTAAATAAAACTTTTATTTGAAAACATCCCCGTTTAAGTTTTGCTTTTTAGTCAGAGTGTATACATATTGTTGTTACCCTGTCTTATTTCAAACCAAAACAATAAAACTGCAGGGATCTTTGTGCATGGTTGAAAGAAGAGAATTATTTCTTAGAAGACAGTTTTAATTTAGAGTTTTTCTTTTACTGTCTCTGTTATGTTATTTTTATGTTGTGGGTAATACAGGTTTTGGAAAAACAGGCGTGATTCTCCGGAATGGTTTTCTTTATTCAAGATTTTAGCACAACGTTAAGGCAGGAACTTTTTTTAAGATGAGAGATAAGCAGTTGGTCTTCCACTGTTGGAAGAGGAACTTGCAGATCCTGAACACCTGAAATCATTTAGTATGGCAGCTTTAAAAATAATAAAATGGAAATTAATGTTCTTTACAAAGTATATAGCCATTAGTTGCTATATATTCTGATTCTTTTTTTAACCAGATATAAGTCGCTCCTCTCCTCCTTTCACCCTGCCCTTTCCCTTCCTGCCGAAAAGGAAGGAAAAAAATAAGCTGTAATATTCTGTTCCAGCTACTATGATGGAGAGGCTAAAGATTTATGAAGAGGCCTGGACTAAATACCCAAGGGGACTAGTTCCAAGAAGATTACCATTAAACTTTTTGTCAGGTAAGTTTATTTTTGCTGAGCAGGTAGTCGTCAGCACTTGTGTTTCTTAGATACTAACGTTTTAACAGCATTTTAACAGTCTGCAATTGACAAGTAATGTGTGGTAAAACAAAATCAACAGGTCTTTTTCCTCTCAAGGTGAAAAGTTTAAGGAATGTCTGGACAAGTTTCTAAGGATGAATTTCAGCAAAGGTTGTCCACCAGTCTTCAATACTTTGAGGTCATTATATAAAGACAAGGAGAAGGTAGGTTTTTTCTCCTTACTTTTTAGATGATCTGCCTTATAGCTGTGATGCATTAAGGAGAGGAAGGAAACTTTTTATTCTGCAGTGCTCACTCAGTCAGCACAGTTGTATAATATGGCCTGGTGTAGAAATGTGAAGAGATGTAGAAAACTAAGATTTACTCAGTTATAAGCTGCATAAGTGTTAACTGAGGGTAGCTTGGTCTTAATTTGTTAAAAAGAGGGGTGAGATTGAGTGCATTCCCATATGTATTGTAATTCAGGATGTTGCAGAATTCTCTTACCAAAAATAACTAGTTTGGGTAACACCAAGTAGTTCAAGTTGAAATAAAATACCATCTTGCCAACAGATTTTTTTTTTTTTCTTTTTTGGTCTTGTCTTGCATATGTAGGTGGCAATCATAGAAGAGCTCGTGATAGGTTATGAAACCTCTCTAAGAAGCTGCAGGTTATTTAACCCAAATGGTGAGTGCTAAGACTGTCATATTTCGTGGAAATAGTGCCTGGTGCAAGCATTATGTGACCATTCAGAGACAGGGAATCAGTGGGGAGTGAAGAAACTGAGATGATGGGGGTTTTTCCCTTTTTTTTTTTTTTCCCCCTTAACACAAAACTGAACCATAGCCATCCCTAGAATGGATTTAATCTGTCAAATAAAGTCTGTACTCAGAAGTTAGTCACTTGTTCTAAAAGTTTTGCTGGATCCACAAATTCGATCATCTCCTTGCAGTTTTGAGCTCAAGTATTGTATTTTCAAGGATCACTTTTCCTTTCTCTTAAAACCACAGTATGAGAAAGGAACAGTATGTGCTCAGGTTAAGGGACTTACCTGGCCCCGGGTGTTTGAAAGCACTCCCAGATCTGGTGTGACAGCCTGATAGAGGGGCAGAATTAACTTCAGTGGCTATATTTATAGAACCCTGCTTCTGGCATGTTTTGATAAACTGAAAAACAGAGCTCCCTCCACTTTTTCTCTCTCCAGATGATGGCAAAGAAGAACCTCCAACCACTTTACTCTGGGTCCAGTATTATTTGGCTCAACATTACGATAAAATTGGACAGCCATCCCTGGCTCTAGAGTATATAAATGCTGCTATAGAAAGTACTCCCACTTTGATAGAACTCTTCCTTGTGAAAGCAAAAATCTATAAAGTAAGTTTGGCTTATTCTTAGTGACCAGAGGTTGTTTTTTTGTTACGGTGGAAGACTTTCAAATACGCTATACTTTCCTGTAATGTTTTTGATGTGAACACTGAAGTGTTCAGCTTGTATTAAGCAAGACAGGTGGAGATTCTATGGAAAATCACTTAGTGAATTTTAGTGAGTTTATAGGTAAGGGTATTGTTTGGGTACTTGGTTTTTTTTTTGTGCATGTGAATAAGCCCCCCAGGCTGCAGGTGGAGATCTGCTCTGGTGTCTGGAGCACATCTTCCCCCTCCTTCTACACTGACGGTGGGGTCTGCAGAGTTGTTTCCCCTCACATATTCTCACTCCTCTCTTTGGCTGCAGTTGGGCAGTTTTTTCCTCATCTTAACTGTGTTATTACAGAGGCACTACCACCATTGCCAGTGGGCTCAGCCTTGGTCCCTGGTGGGTCCGTCTTGGAGCTGGCTGATGTTGGCTCTGTCAGACATAGGAGAAGCTTCTAGCAGCTTCTTACAGAAGCCACCTCTGTAGCCCCCTGCAACCAAAAGCTGGGCACGCAAACTCAAGACACAAAATACACTGCAAAATGTGAATTTCCAGTTTACAATTATATTCTTCATATTTTAGTTGATGTTTTAAATGTCTTCCACCTGTTCTTACCTCCCCTTTAACTACTTAAAAACAATTTCGCAGCTACAATGTGGCATTGTGTCAGAATGGGATTATCCCAAGTGTCCTCTAAGCATTTTCAGTAAAAACATCTAGTGCCAAAAGACCTGTAATTCCGTAATGAGGGAAGGTAATTTTTCTGGTTTTCTTTTTCTTTAAAGAGCTGTTGCTTTCCTGAAGAAAGCTATTTATTCAAAATTTCAATAATTCTGTTAAACAGTGAGTGGATAAAACATGCATGTTTTATAATTGCTGAATCTAACTTGAATTTCTGTCTCTTTAAGCATGCTGGAAACATTAAAGAAGCTGCAAGGTGGATGGATGAGGCTCAGGCTTTGGACACAGCAGACAGATTTATCAACTCCAAATGTGCAAAATATATGTTGAAAGCAAACTCCATTAAAGAAGCAGAAGAAATGTGTTCTAAGTTTACGAGGGTTTGTTGCATTTTACTATAGCTCTTTTGAATAATATGGACCTGATGCAGTGTAGAATAACTTTGTGTTAACTTTCCACTCACCTTTACCATGATCTTTAAGTTCTGTTTCAGACCAGCTGTGATTGCTTGCCTCACTAATAGCAGTCAATATCACATTGAGTAAACATGATTCCATAGTATTAAATGAAAGCTCTAAAGCTAGAATTTGATCGATTTTTGTCTGGTAGGAAAAATACAGCATGCCCATTTTAGCGATAACTACTTTGAAAAAAAGGTTTTCTGAGAAGTCTTTGGGTTTAGTGTTGATTTCTACAGAGTCCTTGAAAGATTTGATAAAGCTGCCTATGTGTCTGTTTTGTAATGGTAGTAAGCTAGAGAATGCGGACTTCTCTTGTAGCAAGGTATCTGTGTGGCTGTTAGGTGAGAGACCTTCTGAGATGCCTTCCTTTTGTGAACAAGCTTTCATCCTTAAGGCCATGTTCAGCAGTGATGAAGGGAAGAGCTGCATATTGTGGTTTTTTTTGTTTTGGTATGGGGTTTTTTGGATCTGCTTGGGCATGACCAATTAGCTGGCAGAAGAAGTTTGCATTATGCAGTTTGCTTAATTTTCATGCATCAGTTTTTGTCCCTGCAGGGGACAAAATAGGTCTGATAGGTTTGATGGTCTCACAGGTTAGTTACTTTTTAAATTGCCTTCTCTTGCTGTTGTCCTTTCATAACTGAAAGCCAAAACAGCTCAAATGTAGTCTTTCCAGAATATTTGGCCAAAGATAGTTTTAGAAGACCGGCAATATCATTATGTGTTGTCAGTGGGAGACAGGCAACAAGCTATTAGGACCTCCCTGCAGAAATAAAGCCTTTTGTTTGTTGTCCCATTTTTCTCATCTCTCTTGAAGAGCAGGAGAAACCTGGAGTAAGGTAGGTTGAACAATTGGGGTATTTATAAGGGGAAAGCTGAAGGATTTGGTGAAATGGAGGCTGTGTGCAGGCTAACACGGAGGGAGGGGAAGTCCTGTTTTACATAAGATCAATAGCTTTATGTGGAGTTTTTCATGCAAAACTGCTGTGAATCTAGGTTAATTGACCTCTCTGCCTTAAGCAGCTTTAAGAAGATGTCAAAAAAAGCAAACATAACCAGTTGCCCAAAACTTCAGAAATATAATTTGATGATATTGCACTGAGTAATCTTTTTTTATCTCCTTTTGATTTTACATCTAGCGCTCAAATACAAGCTTCTTAATTAAAAAAATACCTAAATGAAGCATAATGACAATGGAACTGACAGGTTTTTTTCTAAATTTTAGCTGCTTAAATCAGACAGATTTGAAGACTGCCTTTCTCTCTCATTTGGGACGTCTGCCTTCACCTTCTATTTGAATATTATCTGTCGTTTTCCTAGCTTTGGCTCTTGGCTGGTTCTTGAATAGCCTGTTTTTTGCAAGATTTCTGTTTTTGGAATGGCTGCATCTACCCCAAGTAGCTGAGTTTGACGTTAATCTTAAAGACATATGATAAGTTCTACATATCTGTGCAAGTACATATAAATACCAGATCTGCAAGGCTACTGTAAGCTCCTTTTCTGAATCAGAAGGTGTCAGAGCTACCAGTATTCCTTTTGCTACCTATTACTACTGTCAGTTACTTCTACTCTTAGCTCAGTCAGCAGTCTCTGGAAGACACAGATGGCAGTTTTAGTTAAAAAAATCCTGCAGGTGTCAGTGTCATGTCACATGCTAAACTTTTCTGTCATTTTTCTTCCTGCTGCAATGTGTTATACTTGCACACAATATTAAAAATGCTGAATGAATGTCTCTTTATCCTAAAGATGAGGAACTGTAACAGTTAAGTGGTTACTACCTGACTATTCATTGTGTGTTTTGAACTCTTACAAAAAGTGGAACACAGAAGAATATTCCATCCCCCCCCCACTTTGGAGACTTGCTCAATGAACAAAGCAAGTCCATCTTAACTGTGGCATTTATAATTTTCAGGACTCCAGTTTTGAAATTTAGCATTCTTTTGATAGCCTCTTTATTTGTGCTTTTAATTAGAACAAGATAAACGAAATGGCAGTTAACAAATTGAATGAGATTTATTTTTTTATATAATGCTGTTTTTGCTTTCAGGAAGGAACCTCGGCAGTAGAGAACTTGAATGAAATGCAGTGCATGTGGTTTCAGACAGAATGTGCGCAAGCTTACAAAGCAATGAACAAATTTGGAGAAGCACTTAAGAAATGCCATGAAATTGAGCGAGTACGTATCTAGTTAAACTGCCTAGGCTGGAAAACCCTAGCTTAAGTTTGCTGTGCTAATATGTTTCCTTTCTGAGCAGTAAGAGTATACCTGATGTAGCTTCAGAAGAGAGTTCATTTCATGTTGGCAACTGACAAGTTCATTAAATTTCCTCCTTAAAATGCTGTTGTAAACTGTGTATTGTAAAAAGATAATACAAAGTCATTTGAAGATCCAGGAAAGAACAGAAAACTGTCAGAAATAGCCTTATTTTTGGCAAGGTACGGGAAAATAGTTATTGGGTACAAACCAAGAGTAGATGGACTTTAAGTCCAAAAAGAACATGGCTGAGCTGACAAGCCCAGCCTTAAAGGAAAGGAAAGATGTCACCTTGGTAATTGTTAAACCACTGTATTTTAGCGGGAGAGAATAAATGTTAAAAAACATGAAAAATACTAAATATCCTCTCCTTTAAAAAAAAAATAAAAACCCACAACGGACAGTATTAAGCTACAGTTTAAAAGAAGCTATTAGAAATATCAAGACTTCTTAAAATAGAGATTGTATCCAGAAGGGATACTTGCACATTAAATGCAGATCCATAGTAAGGCAAACAAAAAAATTTGGATGTGCAACTTTTTTTTTTAAAAAAAAGGGAAGAAAAAAAAATATGCAGCTGTGCGGGAGGTTTTTTTGACAGAGTCTGGAAAAAAGACCAGACAACTGAGGGTGTAAATTAAATGCTTCAAGAGGAGGACTTAGTAGGAGCAGACAACCAGCTTTTACAAGAAAAGGAGTTTACCATGAAGATTACTAAGGCGTCTCTCTAGAGTCTTCATTGTTTTATATATCAATAAGTGATCACAGAAAGGGAGTGAATAGTACAAGGACAACACTTGCTAATCATAGAATCATTAAGGTTGGAAAAGACCTCAAGGGTCATCAAGTCCAACCCAACACCACCTAACTCACTAACCCATGTCCCTAAGCACCACATCTACACGTTTCTTGAACCCCTCCAGGGATGGTGACTCCACCACTTCCCTGGGCAGCCTGTTCCAATGTCTGACCACTCTTGCAGTGATGATGTGACGTGATTAAAACCTGGCTGCCAGAAGTTGCAGAGAAGGGTGTCTCAACACTCAATGATAAAATGGCTCATGAAACATAGTGTTCAACAGTGTGTGAAGGAGGGACAAGAATTCTTTGTCTGTGCATCAGCAGTAAAAAGTCTTATGTGAATTATTGCTGCTCAGGAAAGAAATCCTGGAATCATTATTGACAGAGCTGCAAAAACTACTGTGGTGGTGTAGAGCAGCAATCGAAAGGAGAATGTTGGGAATTTAGTGACTAGAGAAGTCGTACTTTTCTTCCGTTATATAAATCTGTCATACTGTTTACATCTGAATATCACACCTCCTTAAAAATGTGCTAGTAAAATACGTGCCATAGAATAACTTCCACGTGAAGAGTGCAATCAGTTTGTCATGCTTACTATTTTATCCTCAGCTTTGACAAGCAACAACTGAGTTTAGGATGAAGTTGTATGAGATCATAAGTACATGGAGAAGTAGAAGAGGGTAACGACTTTTCCCTGCTACTCAAACAAAAACAAGGGGACATCAGGTGACAATGAGAAAGCAGTTCTTGAACAAAAGGAAGTACTTTCCCACACCACATGTGATTTAAGTGTGGAATTCATTACCACAGTATTTAATGGAAGTCAAGATTATACTTATGACTGAAAAGAAGAGAGGAGTTCGTAGAAGAAAAATTTTTCAAGTGCTGTTTAACTTACACAACAAATGTAGAACCTTTGCCCCTTAAACTGTAAATTGTCAGAGGATAGTTACTGTTAAGAGATTGTGGAATGGGTGAATTTTGGTTTTAAGATGCCTTCTGTTCTTTTCACCATGACTTTATTTCTGGAGGATCTTGTTAACTTGGGTTTCTAAAAGTTAGGGTGTGTTTGTCAAACAGCAAGCTTTTACTAAATTATTCCCTTGGAGAGAGTGTATTAAAAAAAATCTAGGTAGTATCTGATTGTTAATACTTGCTAAATAATGTTATGTTGTATTAGCATTTTGTAGAAATCACGGATGACCAGTTTGACTTTCACACTTACTGTATGAGGAAGATTACCCTTAGGTCTTATGTGGACTTGTTAAAACTAGAAGATATACTTCGGCAACATCCATTCTACTTTAAAGCAGCGCGAATTGCCATAGAGATATATTTGAAACTTCATGATAATCCCTTAACAGATGAAAATAAAGAACACGAGGCTGATACAGGTATTCAACCCTCAAGATTGATTAAATTTGCAGCTTCACTAATTAGTGGATTTTTTTAATATCTGCTATTCTTATAGTTTTCAACTATAGTAGCCAAAAATAAGGACTGAAAGTAGGTAAATTGTAGCTTGGCCTGCATGTGAAACTGTATGTTCTACTGAAAGTTAAACTAATACATATTTTTATTTTGGTTTTTGTAGCTACAGTTGTAATTCTTAAGTAAAAACATGTTTGTGTTATGAAATTGCTGAGAAAACATGGAATTCTCGTGGTTGTTGGTCCATGAAGTAACAGATTGAAGCAGGTGTGCTTGGAGGTGGCTCTTTCTAAGCATTTTATCAGTATGCAAAAATTAGACTGGGTAGCAACTTAAATTTTGTCATCTCTTGCTCATCATATAAAAATGTTTTAAATCCACCAATGTATTTTTTTTCTCATCTCTGATTGGAGAGCAACTTCAGTGCTTATGGCTTGGGGCACCTCAAATGGTATGAATAGAGGCTATTGAATCCTTCAAGAGGAATTTGTCGAGTTTAAGATTTCTCATCTCTGATCATTTGGGGGGCTTCAGGTTCAAATTATGACAAGTAGAAGTGTGATAGAATTTCTTGTAGCCACCTTCTGATGTGTTTCAAATTAATTTTCCATGCTTTAATTGGAGGGAGGAGAGAATCTGAATATGAATCAAATGTCTGTAGGGCATTAAAAGCAAAGCTGGAACTGTCTATGCCAGAGTGCCACTATTTCACCTTATTTTTGTTAGACCATTTAATTACTGCATTAAACATAACTTGTGTGATGCCTAAGGAATAAATCAATGTGTATCGGTGTGCACTTTTACTCCTGGCACTGGTTTTGTGAAGTCGTGCAGTAATTACTTTGTCTCACCTTCAGCATGTTATACTATTTCCTGTTGCCCTGACTTCACAAAGGAATTTGTGAATGATGAAGCAGCAGTGTAAACTGTAAAATAATCTATCAGTGGTAAAGGAGCTTTTACAAGTGTAATGGCAGCATTACTAGTTAGTAGATGGTTTAAAAAATATAATGGTATCTGACAACTGATTGAGACTTTATATTAGACATCAGCATTGTCTGGTTTTGCTCTGTGTGTGTCCAGCAAATATGTCTGACAAGGAGCTAAAGAAGCTACGAAATAAGCAGAGAAGAGCGCAAAAGAAAGCACAGCTGGAGGAGGAGAAGAAGAATGCTGAGAAAGAGAAGCAACAGAGGAATCAGAAAAAGAAGAAAGATGATGATGATGAAGAAATTGGAGGCCCGAAAGAAGAACTTATCCCTGAGAAATTGGCAAAGGTGCTTACAAATGTAATAATACAGTCCTACAAATTTCTAGAAAACTTAGAGTGAGCACACATATAGTTTGAAAGCCATTCAGATAACTTGTTTTTTTTGTATGGCTTCTCTTCACAGGCGGCATTTTAAAAAGACTTCTTTTCTAGGGGTAGTTTGTTGGATGTACTGTCCGTAATGTGATGAAATCACAGCTTTTGTGCCTAGTTCTCAAAGGCATTTGCTACAGGTGGAATTATCTTCATGTGTGTATTGCACTAACTTGTTGATTGTACCCTATTTCTAGTTGATCGGATGGAAGTCTTTCTATTCTGTATGTAAGGTGATTATCATTCACTCTTTATGTCCCATAATATTTTTTTATTTATTAAGCATAGACAACCTGTGAAAGAGTAGGCACTGAAACACTGAATGCTTTAATAGCATGTGCTTGCATTTGTTTTGAATGGGGGGAAAAAAGGATAAAGAAGGTTTTCGGAAATAGCAGTAGACTAGACTGAGATGGATTTTGAGAACTGGATTAAGAACTGTAGAGATGCATAAAGGGGAGGTTGACCCACAAGACTATTCTTGTGCTAAAGGTTGTACCTGTAAGGAACAGGAAAACATTTGAAAAACATGGGGAAAGATAGTGGAAAAAAGTATAGAGCGGAAAAACTAATTTATAGTAATAGTAGTATAGTATGCAAGTACTGGTAGACATAGTATTTGCTGTTTTCACATTACATGTATCATTAATACTATTGGCTCTTGGGGGGATGATATTTGAAAGCTGAAACTGAACTTCAGTGTAGCCAGGAAGCAAGTGACTTTAAAAACTTGACTAGTCATTTAAGAATATTGTTGGTATTGCCATTGTTGAGCTCTCTGGTTGTAGGAAGCAGCACTCTAAATTGCAGTGCTAGGTAAGGTTGAAATGGTTGCAATGGCATGGATTGAAACTGAGTTCTGGAGTAGAGGGACGTTGTGGGACATCCCAGGAAAATAAGGCAGTCCCCAAGACTATAGGGAATAGTTGCAGCTGTATAATGCATTCCTTTTGGCAAGTCTTCTCTAATTATATTCCAAATTTAATGTCAGAATCATGAGTCAGACACTTGCAAATTCGGTTGGTTCCCAGTGCCAGAAGACCATTTCTGACCTAGCTGGTCACTTGTAAACAGTTTTCTTGAAACAGTTGCCCTTAGACTTTGGTGGATAGGTAGCTTTGGCATTAAAGGCATAGCTTTGAACTCTGTTTTATTATAGGTCCAGACAGTTTAAGTGCACAGTTGTGACTGATGTATGCAAAGTCATAACAGCACATACAAGTGATGCATTTTTTTTATTAAATCTGCTTTACTCTAAGGTTAGCAGGAACTCCATAAAGTGTCCATCATTGTCTTCAACTCAAGTATTTCCAATGAAGTGTATTGTTTCAACATTACTGAATTGTTGACAGACAATTAAATTTTTTGATTCTTAGAGAGTAGTTTATGTTCATAAAAATGTAAATATGAAGGACAACAGACAGTTCTTGTTCGAATTATCTCTAATCTCTAGATGCAAGAGATCTGTCTGTCAAGAATCTTGGCACAGAATTAATTTGTGTTGAAGCTGTCCGTTTACTGGATTATGCTAGCTAAGACTCGGAGACCATGATCGATACCTAGTTACTTCAGGCTTGCTGTTAGTATCTTGGCTGGGAATATTGCCATGACGTGGCAGCTCTCAGGAACCTGTCTGAAGCTCAGATGAACAGGCTGTCATGGGGACAAAGTAGTGGTTTACCAACATCTTAGGCCCATGGGTGTAGATTGGCATGGAGAGCCATACTGCCCATTACAATGCAGGTTCAGCTGCGGTGGTGTTTATTGACAGTCTATAATAGAAGGCAGAGTTTTGTATCTCTATAGGAAAATGTGATTTTTTTTTTAACCATCACAAAGCAATTTTTTAGACTTAAGTCTGTTTAGACACCACTGCTGAGTGAAAGCTGGAAAATTTGTAACATAAGAGGTCCTAAGCACCTTATGCATTGCCTTATGAGAGTACCTCTCTGACATGAATCAGAAGTAGCTAATTCTGTTGTTGTAGAGTTATTAGGTTTAAGCTTTGACTTAGTTGTGTGTCACTTTCTTGAATCTTTAGGTTGAAGCACCTTTGGAAGAAGCCATTAAATTTTTAACACCCCTGAAGAATTTAGTGAAGAACAAAATAGAGACGCATCTTTTTGCCTTCGAGATTTATTTTCGAAAAGGTAGGTGAGAAAACTAATGAAAGAAAGCAATTTGCTGTTCATAAAGATGTATATTGGAATTCAAGAAAAAACTACTGATTGAGATATGAGGAGAGAGTCCCTGTCCAGACGTGTAACATGTCATTGGACCAACACCCCTTCAAGAAAAAACTACTGATTGAGATATGAAGAGATAGTCCCTGTCCAGACACATAACTTGTCATTGGACCGACACCCTAGCCGTGAGCAATCTGTGAAGAATCAAAGTTTGAACATTTGGTGATTATCCACTTTCTTTGCTGTGTTTATAAGCAGTGAGACTGTAGAATTAATTCTCCCAGCTTGCATTTGCCCTTGTTATTTGTGTCTGTAGTTGGTAGAACTGCATGTTGTGAGGAAGTGGTACAGGTGATTATCCACTTTCTTTGCTGTGTTTAAATCTATAAGTAGTGAGACTGTAGAATTAATTCTCCCAGCTTGCAACTGCACGTTGTGAGGAAGTGGTACGCAGTTGCTAATGAGAACTGGTCTTTTGAAACCTGTGACTTGAGTTATCGTATCAGTTAAATATTATGCTTTAAGAATTTATTATCTTCATATTTATTTAGCAGTTTAACAGGCTTAATTCACTGGTTAAATGAACAAGTTAGGAAAAAAATGACTGTTGCAGTACACTCAGCTTTAATTTCTTCTGATAACAGGCTTAATTCACTGGTTAAATGAACACGTTAGAAAAAAATGACTGTTGCAGTACACTCAGATTTAATTTCTTCTGAACATTCTAATTTCAAACACTAAATACTCCTGCAACATAATGCAGTGAGTTCCAGCCACAGGTTTTTGACCATTTGCCAACACTTTCTTTTCCAGAGAAGTTCCTTCTCATGCTTCAGTCTGTGAAGAGAGCCTTTGCTATTGATTCTAGTCATCCTTGGCTTCATGAGTGTATGATTCATCTCTTCAGCAGTGGTATGAATCTGTTTGTTATGACTTCATCTGTACATGCTTCCAGATGATGCCTAACCTGCATTAGTCATTGATTTTTAGTTCATAGACTGTTAGTACAATTAATTCAAAATATTTAATACATGTATTAGAAAGCTTTTTAAACAACTGATTAATGCTAAAATTAAGTATGTTTATTATTACTGCAGCTGGATTTAGTAGTTATTCCAACAAGTATTAGTAAGTCTTAAGACTGTGAGTAGTATGGTGAACCCCTGAAGGAGTGAGTGAAGAAATGGAATCTGGCTTTCCTGCTGGCAGCCTGTGTCGGTGTGCGAAGAGAAGGCTTAGAATTATGTCCTTTTTCTGAGAAGGTCAGAAGGATTCTCTCCCTTCCCTTGCTCCAAAGGTCACGCTTCCTGTTGAGGGCTGCAGACTAGATACATTTAAGAACAGACTGCTATGACCTCAGTCTTTGAGCCTGATAGATTTTAATCAGTGAGGGGGAGAGTGATTGGAGTAAAGAGGTTTTGGCTTTTTCTGAGTATCGGAGATCTCTCACAGTTAAGCTTTTTCCAGCCAGTTCCAGTTATCTACCTTGTTGAATTTCATGCATCTTCCTCTTAGGTTTGGGGTTTTTTCAATTATTTAATAATGTAAACATGATAAATATTAAAATAAATGCATAAAGTATATTTTACTGTGATTACCTGTGCTCACCTCTGTTAACTTTTTTTTTCAATTCAATAGTATCTGAAAGTAAGGATCTGCCTGATGCGGTTAGAACAGTGTTAAACCAAGAAATGAATCGGCTTTTTGGAGCAACTAATCCAAAGAACTTCAATGAAGCTTTCCTTAAGAAGAACTATGACTCCCTACCACATAGGTTATCAGGTATTTTGCCTTTATGCTTTTTCTTCCATGCTTCTGTGTTTTCTATGCTTACTAGCAGTGGCATCTCAGTATCAGCACCAGTCATGTGAAAAAAATCACTCTTCACATGGGAATGCTTTTCTTCTCTTGGTTTGTGTTGTTGTGGCAACATGACCACCAGGTTGTCTGTGGTTTTCTGTATTTTTTTCTATACCTGCTAAAATACAAATTTTCGGACCTCTGCCACATTTGTTTCTGATGCATGCTGAATGTGTCGTAAGATTGTAAATGTATTTAATGCATCTGCAAAATAGTTCATATGAGCTATGGTATGTGAAGTAGTATTTCCGAGTTGCAAAGCTTTTTTGATACATGTATTTGAAGAGGCTGACTGCCAAGAGAGAAATGTGTTAGTGCTCAGCAAGCCAGGTAACACCTGGAGCTACTGGTATGCCCAACAAGAGGAGCTTAGACAGTGCTGGTGACCTGTTAAAAAAGCTGGCTGTCAACAGTGACCTCATCTTGCAGAGGGTATCACAGGACCGCGTGGGAAATGGGATGTAAATCACCCAGGGGAGTGGCGTTACTGTTGTGGCTCAGTCTGGGCTCAGACCTGGCCACAAAAAGTAGCGAGGTTATTCTCTGCATCTTTTCTGGCTTCTAGTCCCTTCAACTCTATCTGTGATGTGGGATTTAGAACTGTGTCCTGGTTGTGTCCTGACACCATATGACAAGAGCTCTGTGCGCACATCTCTTGTGTGCCCAATTTCTGTGCAAAGGAGATGTGAGCCGTGGGGATGGAGGGAGCTGTGGTGTGCTGCGGGAGGTCTGACTTGTCTCCTTCACTGCCTGGGATTCTGTAGGACACTGCAAAATGCTCCCACCCTGCAATATAGACAACACCTGGCCAGTTTGGTGCTTTGTCTAACGCTGAATAGTAGAGTTAAAACTACCCTTCCACTTGCTCAGATGTCAAGCTTGAATGCTCCAAGTGGTTCCATTTTGAACCACTACTGTAGAGTTCAGTATCCCCTCTTAGTCATATTATCTCTATTTTATGTTTGGTCATTCAGTGGGTGATGGGGCTTCTTCTTTTTCCTCCCGTAGCTGCCAAAATGATGTACTATTTAGATCCTTCCAGTCAGAAAAGAGCAGTGGAGCTGGCAATGACCCTGGATGAATCCCTCATTAACAGAAATCTTCAGGTAACAGATATTTATAAAATTGTAAACAACTTCTTCTGGTGTAGCTATGGAAGTGTTATGCAGATTCCAGAGACAAGAGGAAGCTGAAGCAATTGCAGTGCCTTCTGGTAAGGAGGCTGGGTTGTTGTGTGAGAGAAGGGGGTATCAGGTTCATCTGAACCAAAATGTTTGATGTCATTTTCACACATTTGAATTAATTCTGTTTTGTCATAATATGAACGTGGCTAGCTAGCAGCAGAAACCATGTTACTGCTGCAGGTAACGGGAAGTCTTACTAAAAACAAGAGACTTCACAAGAAAAAGGTTGGCTGAGGAGTGGCTCAGACTCTGTGAAGGCTTTCCGTACTCATCCCCCTGCAAGCTGTGTGAACAATCAGAGTTGTAGTAAAAGGTGCATATGCACGTATTGGCTTTCGTATGTAGTCAAGTAAGAAGTTCATCAGATTTTGAATTTCTGCTTCATAAGCCCATAGCAGGAGGACAGAACAATCAATCTCTACACAGAATAAATAAAAGCTATAGTAAATGTCAGAGGAGTGGGAAAAGGCTAGCTCAGTGTGCTAATACTAGCATACGTGACATGGAAGGGTATTAAATGCTGCTGGGCTTTAGTGAAGGACGGTAGGTCAGTTTCTCATGTTTGGAATGCAGATTGAAACGCAGGAAATTTCATTTTTGTCTTCTAAATCACAAACAAAAGTGGATATGAAACTGCTGATACATCTGAAGGATGTGTGGTAATAGCCGAGAAATTTGCTTTGATTCACTAGTTACAGGCATTAAGTTGCATATCCTTAAATGTAAATTTTTGTTCCCTACCAGAAATATTATCGCATCTAATTATGGTTGTTCAGCTGATGCTATTTTTACATTTTAATTATAGTCCACGATTCTTCTAATTCTATCTGAAAGCACATTCATGAAAGTGATTATTAGGAAATTATAGTATATATTCTGGATTCATTGTTTTTATTTGTGAACACTAAAATTCAAATGCGTGTTATGTATTGCTGAGATGTTCATTGTATTCAAAGGCTGGAGAGAGGCAGGGGGGACACAATGAACAACAAACCCAAAAAACACATTAAGTTGCAAGTGAGCCTGATTCTTGCTTGACAGCTAGTAAGAATCAATTTAGGAAAACAAGGAACAGGTTAATCAAGATTTCTAGCTGTTTTTTAAATCCCTTTAAACGGCCTTATTTTGATTCAGACTACACTGGTATTTCATTCTGTGTCCAGTTAGAAAAATGTCATTTGATACTGATGGAAACCTGAAAAAATTAGTTGGAGTTTGTTTTTTCTGTAGTGTTATATTTCTGGTTTGTGAGTGTTCAGATCAATGTTTAAGAAACCATAACGCTGCTTTATTTTTCTCTTTAATTAGACTTGTATGGAGGTATTAGAAGCTTTATGTGACGGTAGCCTTGGAGACTGTAAAGAAGCATCTGAAACTTACAGAGCAAATTGTCATAAGCTTTTCCCTTATGCTTTGGCTTTCATGCCCCCTGGATATGAAGAGGATATGAAGATCACAGTTAATGGAGATAGTTCTGCAGAACCTGAAGAACTGGCCAATGAAATATGAACAACTTTATTGGAAAAAAATGACATTGGACCATATCTGGTGTATAATATTTTTGTCACGCACCTGCTGAATTGTTCTAACTTACAGAGAACGGAAGGAAAAAAAAATGTTGCCTTCAAATAGTTTTACTTTTTTTTATCCTGCTGACAAAGTATATATATAAAATATCTAACATATTACTGGATATAGGTTGTTCGGTTTCTTAAAAATTAAAAGCTGCTAAAATTGAAGAAAAAAAAACCCTTCTCCTTACCTACCCATGTTTTTAAACTAATTTATATGAAATCTGGAGGCGTATAGCCCTCGGAGCAGGTGTGTGGCAGAAATATTACTTTAAATTTGTCTTGTGAGATTACTGTTATCTCAGACAGCAAAAATGCTGTTTTAGCACTGGATTCTTTCACTGAGCACAAAGAGTTGATGGGGCTTTAGCATCTGACTGATTTGGATACGGGGGATGATTCTGTCCATAGGAAGTATGCAATGTGAATCAGAATATACAGAGAAACCTGCAACGTACCTGTTATGTTGCGGATGCTGGGACATACGGATATCGAGCAGAATTAAGAAACATAGTGTGTTCAATAAGCTTGTTGTGTCTCTGAAATTCACTGTACACGATCAGTTTGGTGTTCTTGCACCACAGTTTTTAACTGAAGGAACCAGTTAAAACTCTCTCTCTCTTTGAATTAAACTTGGGGGCTGGGGTGAGGAGAATCAACATTGCTGTTCTTGAGATGAACCTGTCAGCATAGGTTGGCCAAACTCTTTAAAACTGTAATGCAAGAACCAAATAGAATTATGCACTGTGATGTGGCACCAACTAATTAGAAAGACAGCATGCATTTTTCACGTAGAGTGAAAACAAAATGAGAACATACTATGGCTTGAAGTTGCAAAGAGGAGAACTCCTGACTACCATTTTGACTGATCAAGAGACTAATAGTTTAAAACCTCAGCAGGCCTTGTTCACGTTATGCAGAAAAAAAAAAAAAGTGCTGCAGTTTAGATACCTCTGGAACTTTTCCACAGTGTCACAGGTTTGTAATACTTGAAGCCCTACATTTCTAAGAATATATTTCTTGCTCAGTTGTTTCAGGCAAGCCCAAGACTTTGTAACTTAAGGGGCCCAAGATTTTTTTTCAATAACAGACCAGCTTCTTATTCCTGCAGTTACAGATGTAATTTCCTTTGTCAAACATAAGGTACCAAATATAATGCAATAAAACGTTTTGAAAAACAATTGTGTGAATATTTAAACCAATCTCTGTTGTACTTTGAAAATGAATGGGTTCACTCGAGTGCAGCTCAGGGTTGGCTTACTGTGCTGTCCAGTTACGCTAATAATGTCACTGCTGATGGGTGGTTGTTGAGTATAAAGTGCAAATGCATTATATGTAAATACTGAATGTCTGGGAAGTCCTCTAACACAGAATGCTTTACTACTTGGCTTTTAAGTTCCACCAGTGTTATGTTGAATTTTATTTTCCAAGTCAAGCTTCAGTCTGCAAGTCTACTATGTTATAACATAGCTATAAGTGCTAAAATGGTTTTTTTTATAGGCTCATCATATAGAACAGAGCAGAAAATAAACTACAGCTTATAAAGTGAGTGCCTTCTTTGCTGCAGTTCAGTTACAGAGTATGTGTCATGTGGATACACAGCCTTCCTCTTCCACATCATGGAATTCAGTGATTGACACGTACAGTTAAATACAGGAAGACTTCTTGGGGTTTGTAGTTTTCTAACTGTCAGAAGAACAGGTTTTTTGTTTCTTGTATATTCAGCATCACTTTCTTTTCATGGTTAGACTATCCTTGTGTATATTTGCAGTGTAGTTCATGTCGGAAATGTAAGTTGTATTGCTGTATTTGTATATTTAATCTGCTGGGCTTTTAGGGATTAGAGTACCTATAGAGCCTTTAATTGACTCTGGTATTTATGTCTAGATCTCAGTCTTTTCTGCAGCCTGAGATACTTGGACTGCATGTCTTCTGCAACTACTGAAGATGGTTCAATCTTGCCTACACAAGCTATGAGCTTTTGGCCTTGCCTCTGAGTATTGCTGCCATTTTCTTGGCTTCTGATGCTTAGCTGGAGGCAGATGAGTGCTCACTCTTTTTAACAGATTGTGAATTGCATCAAGCAATTTTTTTTTTCCAAATTCTGGTTTTTGGGTGCTTCCTATAAATGGGATTATTTCCTTCACTTTTTCACTGCCTGTTTTTGTCTTGAAAGAGAAGAACTAAAAGCAAAAAGTTACTTGTTATCTTTCATTATGCAAGTGGGAAAGGATATCGCTGTCAGCCTTCCAGAAGCCTCTATCTACACATCTGTGACTGTGATTTCCCCAAAGACACTTATTTGTAACCTTCCTGAAAGGCATCCATAGTGCTTCAGAGATGATGCTTTTGGCTTAAAGAGGTTCCTCATCCCCTTCCAGAAGACTGCGGTCCCAGGAAATGAAACTAAGTCAAGAGTTTACCTGAAGAAGAAGGTTCTTTAATTGGCAAAGGAATTGTTATTCCTTCATCTTCACATCTCTCCTGGTAGATCCAATGCTGACTTCTGAGGAAGAGTTTCTAAGAGCTGGAAATGATGTTACAATCCAAAGCAATGAGTCTTGGGAAGCAGTAGCACAGAGTGCCATGCTACAGTGAAAAGTTTCCTTTGCATGCTGAGATCCAAAATGGTAATCACTGGTGCTCAGTGGCCAAAGCAAGTGAGCAGGGATTGCAGTGTGATCAGAGTGACCTAGAACACCAGCTTACTAATGACACGATTTCATTTGATTCTTCACGATTTTCCCTGGAGAAAGATGTTTTCAACATCAGTGGAGCCACTAGTGATTGCATATGCCATGGATATCTTTCCTGGGGGGGAAAAAAAAAGTTAATGCAACAGATTTTCCTAGGTAGAGACTGTAGAGGGTGCAAATGCACGTTGCATAAAGCAATGCCAGGGTCAGAAGTAGTCTTAAACTGTAAATAACTGAAAGTGGTGGTTTGCCCCCAGATGATAGGGGAGGTACTGACCTTTTCCATTTGGAGACCAGAGTGCTCAGACATGCGGTATGTGTGAACAAACAGGTAAAATAGTCTCAAAATTACTTATTCAGCAACTGCTTTCATTTATTTGCATCTTAAATGCCTTAAAAGCCTTTGTTTTCTTCTACAGTTATGGGTTTTTGCAGTGGAGGTCTTAATAATTGCGTGTTCATAGGGGAGGAATTGTCCTGGTGTGCGGCGTCAGCCAGAATACAGAATGAAGCTTGTTGCTCCGTTTTTCTCCAGTGTAGGGAGAACATTCCAAGTTTCCCAGGGAGCTCTCTAGGGCTAGATGAGGTATGTTCCATTAGCCTATTAAATCTTCCTTCAGCATTTGCTTTGGCTTGCCTTTTCAGGTCTGGAGGTGCTCCAGCTACCGTAGACCCTGGAAGTTGGTGTAACAGCCTGTTCTTCAGCCAGGCTGAATTATTGTCTTTATAGAACGAAAACACAGAGTAGGGTTGAGATCAGGCTTGAGAAACCAGAGGTGCAAATACTATTTCAGTATCACATGAGCAAGTTCAAATATGAAAACTTCAGATCTTTGTCTAACATGATGCCTTTGAGGGTTTTGAGCAACAGTGCCATCGTTCCTGCAGTGCTAGCATCCCACCCGCCACACCTGTGCCACTAACGCTAACGAAACCACTTGATATAATAATCCAGCTCAATATACCTGAATGGAAATTATTTTCTTTTTCCCTTTTCATGAATTCTTGAAATATTTTTTCTAAGTGTCCTGTACTGGGTAGCTAGCTAGCCTCGAAATCTTTCCCCTGACTTTCCCCCTAAGAAAGTTTGCTCTGAAAGTGCAGTTTGTACCCAAGTGGTAATGTGAAATAGCTTAAACTGTGTGGAAGTGAGAGTTACACTTGTCTGATAACATACTGCTTTGGGGTTCTGTGCAGGAAAATGATGCAAAGGTAGTATAATTAGTAATATCAGTAAGGAATCGAGCAGTCCATAAGTTCATTACTGAAAGCTGTTCCAGATGGGGGAAATGGTTGCTCTTGCTTCCAGGACTGTTCCAGTTATGAGCTGTTCTTGGATGCTGTAAGGAGCAAAGGGCTTACGCTCTTACAAAACCCATGGTCATGTTATATTTCCTGGAAATTAAAGCTGCAGTCTGCAAACACCAGTTTTAATGCCTGTTTCAGGCAGAGATGACTTCCCGAGAGCGTACAGCCAGCAGTGAGAATATTCAGGAGCAATTGATAAAACAGCTCAGCAAAAAGGAGAATAAAGTGAGTTATAAGAAGGTGGCATAATAGAAATTCCATTTTAGATTAAGTATAAAATAGCGGGTTTTATTACTGAAGGATTACTGAAGCTGTAAATACTGTAAGTACAGTCTTCCCATGCTGAGGAAGCTGTAAATGTGTATTACTTTGAGTAGTACAAGCAAATAGTAGTAAATTCACAGAGATTCTAGCTTTGTATGTTGGTCTTCAAGTAAATCGTGGCAGAAAATGTGGAGGATGAAGACTGTCCAGTTTACAAGGGACCATATCAAAGGGTTTGTAAGAGTATTGCAAGAGAAATATTACTAGAAAATCCAAAGCATCTTAGAATAGCTTTCCTAAGATGTTTGTTGTTTTAATTGAAATTGTCACATCTGCTAACTGTTCATAACAAAAGGCAAAAAGTACTTTTACAAAATATTTCTGCCTGGCACTGCCCATTCAATATCTACCTCTACTAGTCCTAGTCTAGTTCAGCCACATAATTTTAGCCATTTAGCATATAACATACAAAAAAGTGTCATTTGCCTGGTTGGTGAACAAATGTATGATGATGGATAACGTTTAGTTTTAAACTGTAATGCAATAAACCACAAATTTAGCGAAAGTCCTGTTGTTGGTTCAGTGCAGCAGCATATTTATTGCTTCATTGCGGATCTGTAAAAAAAAAAAATTATAAACTCCACCAAGTTACTTGCAATTGTACTGGGATTTGCTTTCCCTTCCAGCGTTCCTAACTGGTTAACAATGTTGTACTGTGTTTTTACGCTCTTCTCTGGTGGTAGCAAATATCAAAACTGGCAGGAAGTCAATCAATGAATAAAAATGCTGAGTTCTGTTTGTAAATGAGTGCTAGTGTTTCCTTGTAGGGTTCAGCATCCTCCTTAGATGCCTAACAGCTTTGTAATAAACCATCCCTTAATTCCTGATCATCTTCCAGGCTGATGGGCTGTAAATTGGGGTGGGGGGGTCTTATAAAAGGGAGAAAGATCAGTAGGGAAGAGCTGTGGTTCCCGTTAGGCTGGAAAAGAGCCACGTTGGCAGGGAGCTCTCTTTCCTACCCTGCAAACTAATTGTACGTACATAGAAAAAGGTCCTGTGCTCTTTCAGGCCACAAAGACCCCATACGAGGATTTGAGAAATGCTTTTTCTGATTGAATAAAAGGGGGATGGGAGAGGCAAGCTGTGAATGAAGAAGCATTGTCTATTTTCCTCAGATTGGGTTTGGGAGGGGGGAAAAAAAAAAAATCATCTCAGGAGCTGCCTCTTCCCCACCCACGAGCCCACAAAGCATCCCCCGTCCCAGCCTCCCTGACATCTTGTGGATTTAACCAGTTGGTAGGCAAAATAATACGGGAACATTGACAAACGGGAGCAAAAGTCTCTGGCAGCTGACGCAGCATTGTAATAACCTACGGTGTGCTGTCAACTTGGCAGGTAAGATTGCCTGGAGAAAATGGTTTGTAACTCCTGTGTGTATCGAACAGCAGTTGTGATGAATGGTGCCGACAGTGGGCACAGAGCGCTCCAGCAGCTTGCAGGTTCTGTGTTCTGTTCTAAATGCCGGGGGTGGGGGTGTGATGCTGCCGTGGTTACAGCGATATCCTCACACGCACCCCTTTGGGTGAGGAGGGGAAGCGTGTTGCAGGAAGGGCTGAAAAATAGCATCCCCTAAAAACCAGCATCGCTTCCTTGTAAAGGTCCTCAGTAATTTCATTGTTTGTTTGTGAGAGGCGAGGGGCATTCACGCTGGGTAACTGCCTGCCTTGAACTTCATACTGCCCAACATCACCCTTCCATTCATGGCTGCCTATGAGGGGATTTCAAGTGCAGAAGATTTATGAGGAGCCACAGCAGTCTGGCAGTTCATATGTTATTTTGTCTACATAAATCTGTCAGGACTGACTTGTCATCAGGACCTCTCCATTCCATCAGGTTCAAAGGATCTCCTTACC